GCAGTTGGCTGCAGAAATCTGTGCATAACGAAAAGGCAGCAGCATCGAAACTGGCATGCAAATGACCCTCATGTGAGGCATCTATATAGGCCCAGGTTCTGACAGCAAGTCATGGAAGTGCCGGAGGATCATGGTTGCCCGCTTGAGGAGCTCGCCATCACGCTCACTGATGCCATTCCTCGCTGAGCCATGTCACAAAAGCTCGGCGGATGTGCTGAACGTTGATTAGTTGGAAGCTTGGAACGAACCACTAGAATTTGCTGAAGCAATGCACCGAGGTGTGCCGACTTTATCTCGGAATGCCGGCGAGTTGCCAAATGCCGAAGATATTTTCCCATGCAGTATACCCAATTGCATTGAAGTAGGCCGTCCTTATCAGCGCTGCAAGTAGCAGTGCGGCACGGGCATGTCTTTACTCCTCCGCCGATCAAAAAGGCACCAATTCTAGAGGGATTTGGTTGGGTTCCATGTTATTTTACAGGGGGCGAACGTCAATGTAGGGCTGTTGGTCGACACTGGAAGCCCCGTTCTCGAGACAGTAAGCCAGTGCGCTGGTTTTTCGTTGGGAGGGGGGCCAACACCCTGTTCAAACATCCGTACACGCAGACGCCTATTGATTGAACAAGTTCCTTCGAATTTCCCCCTGGGCCCAGGGTCCGGCCGCCACAAAAACAAATGCCCAACACTGCTCCCAAGTAGCAAGATCTCTTGGGACCTCTGCGTTGACCAGCGGCCACACACCTCACAGAGGCACACAAGCTCTCACCAACTGGAGCACACCTGGCTTCAGCAACGGGAGAATTGCCAGAAGCAATGGCCGACATGCGCTTTGGACATCCGGAGGTAACCTGAAACAACTTGCCAACCTGAAACAAATGCGTGGGTCATCACGGCTCCCAACCAAGGGATCAAATCCCCACAAAGGGTCCATCATGTCCACCAGTGCCTCCAAAAGCAAAAGGTGTTGTGACTTCTGGGTTGCCACATGCTCCCGGGTCGGAAAGCGCTCGTCTGAGCTCTCCGAGGCGCGTGTGGCATGGATCCCCGCGCCAGGAATTTCTGCACGGACACCAGGGGCACGAAAGGCGTCTTTTCCTTGTACGGGAATGGGTCCGAAAGGTTGATGGCCATTTGAGCTTTGCACGCGTTGCAAAGCTTGCGTCAGGCTTTGGGGCCCCTCAAAGATCTCCATTCATGCACCATATCCAGACTACATGAATCTTCATTGACCCACCGCGAAAATTGCAGAAAGACCAGGCCAAACCATTGAGCCCGGCAATCACCCACCTAGTTCAGCTGCTCCATGTCGCTCTTCCCCTCTCCTTCACCACCCTTCACCTCACTCATACTTCTCTCGTTGTATAACATTAGTGCTTGATTCCCTGGTTGCTCTTCACTTCCAACAAGCCCGGACCTTCAGGTCTGCCCGGCCGTGAAGGCACCCCCGACTTCCAACCCGCTCGAGCTGCGGAGCAGCCCACGACCGGCGGGCACTGGGCCAAGGTGTAGAGCCAGCCCTGCGCAGTGGCGTTCCTCGGAGGTGAGCCCCAGGCTGTTTCCCGGCTGCTGGGTAAGCCTTGTATGCAACATGCAACAAAGCCAATGTGCCTCATCAAGCACCACCAGGGCCCTTGCGCATCAAAACGCCGCAAAAACACTTTGCAGTACATTCTGGCACGGGTACGTTGTCGTTTTTGTTCACCAAACAAAACGCTAGGGAAACACCGAGGGTACCTCGACCTCCCCAGAAACAAGTGCCACATCCTGTACATATGCGCTTGGTCGTTCAACCAGCTTACGTGCAACATCTGAGCAACCGTGCACTATGCCACTTGGTCCCACTATATGTGTCCCATTGCTGCTTTGTATGACCACTTCAATGGCGAATTCTGCACACTTCCAAGCTCATCTCAGCTCCAAACCCCTTTTCCAGGATTCAAGCATTGACTCTTGCTTTTCAAAACAACAAATAAGTGCCTGTCGGTCATCGCCAGGGCACAGCAGGAAAAGGCCACCGTAGAGCCCCAGCTCTGGCTCGATGATCGCGCGCACCCCAGCCTCTGAGAATCCATCTTTGCAACGAAGCCATTCCAATGGGGCCAAGGCCCAAATGGGGATTGGGAGCAGATTAGCTCTATCTTGCAGCGTGCCTCCTGCGCTGCACGGAAAAAGTCGGTCACCGGCATCACCTGCAGTTGGGCCACCGCATGTCCTCGTCAAACGTTGCAAATGGCTAGTGGTTTCCCATGCACTTGCCACTTGGGGTTAAAACAGGAGAACCCGAGGGACTGTTGCGCCCAAGGTTTCAGACGGTCATGCATCCTCAAAGGCTTGTACAGAATCTCGGGGAGATCGAATCCGGAAGGCTAGCCCCCGTTTGTTTAGGAATCTCCTTAAGGGAGCCTCTGCTTGGGTTTCATGTCAATTTGCAGGGGTGTCCCTTTTCAAACCGGATCCTTCGCGGAAACCCGACGGGCAATCCGCGAGGTTTATGAATCCGGGGTCAACATGAACAGTCACCGAGGCAGAAGCGTGTGCACAGACAGAATGTGAATTCAGAGGGTTTAGGGTCCATTGACTAGGGCCCATTCAGCTATTCTCAATTGGTATGCAAATTGCACGCTTATCGCAAACAGCGTTCGGGCTATCAGTGGAAGCCGGTCCGGTTACTAAGCCAGCGAGCCACCGTGCCATGCCAGCACGCACATTTGGCTAACAGTGCGAGTCCATGAGGCCCGTGCGAGGACCGGTTGTCAACAAAGATCTTCTGCCATGCAGGAGAAAGGCGCTCTCCGCCCCAAAGGCGCCGACATTTCACAGCAAAAGGCAACCGGCATGCTTTGTACCTGTGAAGCTTTGAAGCTTTGGTCTTTGACGGCTATTCATAATAGCCCAGGCGCTGGCTTCTCCTGGCCCGGAGCCACCATGTAGGGCCCCAGGGAGTCCATGGTGTCCAGGTTCAGGCCGTCCACTTTCGACGAGGCCATGAGCTGAGCATATCCTCGGTGGGCTTTAGGTTGTCTCGGCCCCCGCACAATGAATCGGGCTCCCCTCCAAACGGCAACGGACTCCGTTTAACATGGTTTTTGACACCGGCCAACAAGGAGATCCTTCATCATTGGTGGATGTCTTTGCACCGCAGCTTTGCTGTCCTCTTTCCTCCTTCGGAGAATGCATGCTTGGTTTGCTTTGGCAGGCAAAGAAATTGCAAAGCAGCAAGCAACAGAACGTACGTACTCATCAGCGCTCGCACTGGCTGTACCCAATTCGACCTGGCTGTGGACAATGCAAAGTTCAGAGTCGCAACCTTGCACTTGCCCAGTGCTCATCGGCAACAGCTAGCAATTCTCGGAGCAAAGAGAACGGGAAAATAATCCCCTCAATACATGTGAATCACGACCAAACTGTAAGCCTCAACTAAAAATGCTCCGCATGCTCAATTGCCACAAGGTCCTGGAAGGAAGGGTTGTCCCCTTGACGACTCTGACTATACAAAGCTCGGCCTGGAAAACCAAAAAAGATCAAACAATAAAATGATGAGCTTTGGATAACTGAGCATGGGTATATCCAAAAAAAGCGTCTTTCTTTACGGTGCTGTGCCACATGGAAATCAGAATGACCAAAGAGAGAGGCGCCTGAAGTTGACTCGAGACCCAGCCACGCATTCTTTCGATGAAGTTAAGGGGCAGTGCTCGGGTTTCTATGGCAGAACCGTGGCAGCCTCTGCTTCTCACTGCTGCGCCGTCCATTGTGTAGCCCGAGTGTCTCTTTGGGTCGTCCTCTCCCATGCCGTTGGTCAGAATGTCCCATGGCCTGGCACGTCTGGCCCAAACACAGTACACACCTTGAAGCCTGGTGATGAAGCGGAAAGGCAAGCACCGGACACAAGCTCAGGACTGAGGGCTCGACTTATACGCGATCCTCAGCTGGCAGAGCCGTGTCACCAACGTGCTTCGCTCTGAACTAGCGAAGCAAAGGCTTTACCTTCTGCAGCCCGCATTGCACAACAGGCTGTGACCCGAACGAAGGACCAACAAATCAGGCGAAGTCGGAGTGACTCCAGGCCTATCTTCCTTCGCGACATGAGTAAAATGACTAGCCCTTACTGTTCTAAGCGCCCCTTTCCACATGCTCTGACGGAGGCTCACCAAAGAAACACACCAGAAGTTAAGCCAAGCAGCTGCACCAGCAGCGATGGATCTGCTTTCTTCAGTGCCTAGGTGATGTGGTAAGCTAAAGCCCGTTGAACTGTTGCCTCTTGCAACACTTTGAAACGCTGGCGAGTCAATCGCCGGGTTCGCGTTGCAACACAAGCCGCCCGATCAGAATTTGAAGATACGCTAGGTTGCACGCTCCTAGCCCTCTCTCGCAGCTGCCGGGGCTACCATTTGTTTTGTTGCTCAGCTTACCCCTCAGTGGTGCTTTGGTTACGTGGGGAATGCAACAGTCTAGAAAGTGTCCGAGAAGGGTGGAGACCTTAGACAGCAGGGGGTCAACTCCCCAAACCACCAAGGGCTGTTTGTGTGGTTGTGCTAAAAATATGTTGTTGGCCTTTGTTGGTTCAGCTTGGCCGCCACAACCTCGCCCAGCACGGCCTTTTTTGCATGTAAGGTCCAGGTTTCAACGCGGAGCCCTGCACAGTCCCCCTGCTCTGCCTGGTGGGCTGTCAGTAATCCGAATTTCAACCAGGCTGTCGACAGCTGCAGGTCTCTGACGCGGCGAGCTGGACATAACATGTAAACTAAAACCGATCCACCGATCCACCGATGCGTCTGAGTCCCTTCCAGGAGCCAGGCAGAAACAGCCAAGCTCCAGGAAGCCCTCTCTAAGCTCATACGCCCTTGGATTCGTACATTGCACAAAACGTTTACCATGCTTGGGGACCATATCAAGGGATGGGCCGTTCCAAGAAAAAACAGCTGGCATGGCAGCAAACAATCTCTGGCTCCTGTTTGCTACACAGGGCGGGAAACCGGCTGGCCTCATGAAGCAGGTTGGGCTCAGTCTTTGATGTGTTCCACCACCTCTGGCTTGGCAAAGTACACATACCACGGGACGGAGCCGTACATGCCCGCGATGGCCAAGGCTGCCGCCCAACCCATGTAAATCACCATGTTCTGGTGATCCCGAGGGATCTGCATGGCATCCGCTGGCACCAGCTTCTTCCAGCCCAGACACAAGTGCGTCACAAACAGGGCCAAGCAAATGGAGTACACGAGGACCGTGTTCAGATCTTTGAAGAGGGCAACCTCACGGCTGTACAGGTCTCGTGCCTTGACAAGCTCGCCATCGGGGTCCGTGAAGATGTGTCCAGACAGCACACCCTTCACATTCACCAGCATTGGAGGGGCCTTCAGCTCCACATAGTCGTAGTATGGGTAGAAGCGGAAGTCTTGAAGGTGCTTGATCAGAAAAGTCAGGATCACCAGGCCTGACAAGAGCATGTTCCATCGCCCAGTCGCAATGGTATAGCCAATGGTGATGTCGTAAGACCGCTTCAAGGCCTTGCATGGCAATTGCAGCTGAGGCAAATGCAGTTGCACCAGCTTTGGTACTGCTCGCCACGCAAATGCCGCCTAGCCGCCACTGTCACGTGAAGCAGCAATGCCAAAGCCAGGTATTCCTGCCCAAGCTCAGGTTTCATGCTGACATTTGGCGATTGAACCGCAATGAATCGACGGCCAACGCTGTTGCAAGTCGCTGGTCCAGCAGAGTCTCAGACCACCAACTGCCATAACCTTGCTCATTCGCACCTGGCAGGACATTTACCTCAGACAGAAAGTCTCGGGTCCTCCACAACAGAGAAAGGGAAATCCTTGACGTAGCCGAAGGCTCCAGTCCAGTGGATGCGGTCAAAGAGGTAGCCCTCACCTCGACTTCCAAGCCAAAATCATTCAGTTCTGCCTGTGAATGCTGGGTTTTAACTTTGGAGAATAATTAAGGGCGTAAGGGTGCGCCCGCAGCAGCACCCGAGACAACTTCTGACCAGCTCCCCGTCCACTTCCTAGATCCGTGTTTCATGGCAGAGCAGGAAAGCCGAGCCCCGCGCCGTTCAGCTCCGCAGGGCCCCCCAACATGTCCACAAAGTTCCCCAAGGCATGGACGATGGTGAAGGTAATGAGGAAAACTGCGGAGCGCATGGTGCCGTTCCGGTTGTTGTCCAAGCTGAACTTCAGGTTCCCCGTGAAGAAGACCTTAGGTTTTGCAGTGGCTAAGCTGCAAACACGCAAAGGAAACGGCAGCTGCGTGCCATGTCCTGTGAACACTTTCAAACAACAGCTCTTGCTTGATACCACAAAAACGAGAAAAGCCTGCCCAAACCGTTGTGCGTGGCCGGCTATCGGGAAAGAATAGCGCTGCCACTGTCTCAACCGCGCCAACTGCAAACCAAGCATCGGTGCGCATCACCATGAGCATGACATTTTTCAGCAAGAACCAAACGGCGCCGATGAAGCCTGATGACAGCAAGTGTTGCTTGTGGTTGTCCGTGTGCGGGGTGCCATGCCCAGCCTGGCACGCCGCCATCTCCATCTGGTGGCGGTGGTGAATCATCGGCAGCTGGGCAGAGACAGGCGGCTGAGAACCCTTGCATCAGGTATTCATACACATCCGGACGATCAACGGGTTAAGGTCAATAGTCCCATGTTCATCCGAGCTTTTCTCATCTCCTGGCAGTGCTCTTCATTTTCCTTTTGCTCCGCTTTACCCCCTTTTATTCTCGCTCACTCCCTTCTATCCGCTTCTCTTCAAGTATGCCATTCTCAAACCTTGGTAGGTAATCAACGGATGGATGGCACCCCCTAAACACCCCAGTTCATGTGTTGTTCCCCGACACTCGACCAAGGGTGGCCTGCAGCGGGCGCGGCCGCAGCCACAGCTCCCGAGACTTTGCCCATTTTCTTCAAGTGCTGCATGTTCTTCCTTGGCGCAGTTAGTTCAATCGGCTCGCACCCAAATGGATGTGCCTCCATTTTGGGGGGCCCGGTTTGAAAGAAACAACCCCAAAGATGTTACCCTCAAAGACTCAAAGAAACTCGCACAGAATTTCAGGTTGCGAGCTGGGTATTGCCACAGTGGGGCACACAAGGCCCTCCTCACCCGAGTGGAAATCCCAACAACTTGTTTGGTGCACCCTGGGGAGATATACACTGCCACGACAAAAGTGGTCACAACCGTCTGCCTTCTTAGTGGTCACAACCGTCTCCGCCTAGAATCCTGCAAGTTGCTGCTGTGTCCTTCGCGGAGTCGAATTTCCACACTAAAAAGCCTTTAAAGCATCTTAAACTTGAAAGCGGGTGATAATTGACCATCCCGCTCCTGCCACGCAAAACGGAGTTGGCACGGCTTTGCGGAGACAAGTAAGAGGCATAAACGTTTGTCCTCCTGAAGTATTTCCTTGTCCGGCATGTTAATATAGATCAATTGCACGGTGTCCCTTGTCTATTTCTAGTTGGGATCATTCTCCGTCCGGGGGCACACCTCCATGTCAGTTGGGTCAAGACTTGCAAAAAATAGCATGCCATTTTGTGCTGGGTGTCTCAACCGTTCCGGGCTTGTGGATCATGACCCACTCTTCAGTTGCATCCTTGCCCAAGTATGCCATGATTGCCTGCTCGCCTCAGCTTCAAGCATGTCAGGCGAACGCAGGGCTTTGCAGAGCGTGCTCGCGCGCGCACACAAAGCTAACACCGATATACCTATACATACATATACATATACACACACATATATATATATATACACACTTTGCAAACAAGTTGCCGCCGGGGTGAATAGGGATCCACTTGGTCACGTCGAGAGCCTTCAGCAGCAGCCAACATCAAAACCACGCCGCCACTGCGGTAAGAAAGGAGGGGTGCCGCTACATGGATCTTCCGATCCTACAGTACTTTCAGGCAAGTGGGGCGCCTTGCGGCCTTTGGATTCTAAGGGTAGTTGCACCCTGCTCGCCTCTCCGTGGAGGATGATCCAGGCATCTGTCTTGGTGTTGTGCTTTGCAACCTGCGAGGGAAAACCCCTGTCAACCCCAACCTTCATCTTGACTATGTCCGGCCCAAGCTTCAAGGAAGGGATGTCGGTTTTCCCCGGGCATTTGCCGCTTGTTTCTCTCTAGTGCTTCTCATGTGCTTGGGGAACACTCCCCTCCTCGTCCGGGGGCATCCCGTCGCTCACAGGTGCCGCGGCTGCTCCTCCCGCTGGGGCGCCGCCTGCACCGATCTTGCCCATCATCTTCAGGTGCTGGGCATTTTTCTCCACGGTACCTCCGATGATATTTTGCGTGGTCCCACGTGAGACAATAAAAGGAATTGATCAACTGATTCCCCGAAACATGCCAGCAATATATATATATATATATCTTCATTTTTGTGTAACCTATATGCACATACATATATATATATATAGCTGCTATACATATACAGTACACATATCAGAGAAATGCCAGGCCAAAATCATGTAATATATTCATATATAAATACATGTGTATATATATATATATACATATACAATGTATATATATATATATATATTGCAGGCCGATAGTATATGCAATGTATATATCTATATACATAAATATTCACAATATAATATGCTATAATATCTAGATATATATATATATATATACATCTCTACTCTTGGTATGGTAGCAAAAAACTTTGTTTTTTGCAGACCCCCAGTAAAAATGAACAGAACAAAAAAACTAAACAAAATCTAAAAAAACATGCCAAGAACAGTGAAGTATATTATATATATATATATATATGTGTGTGTGTGTGTGGGCGCACGGCATTCGAGTCAGGCCTGGCTTGTGGATCATGTTCCACTCCTCCGTGGCATCCTTGCCCAAGTACGCCATGATCGCTTGCTCTCCACCAGGGTGAATCGTGATCCATTTCGTCACATCAATCGCCTCGCCGTTCACCACCTCAGAACACAGCAAGTTAAGCCTCTCGTCTTCAAGCATCAGCCTTCATATTCCAAGCACTCCAAAGCCAAATGCGGCTTCCAAAGGGGGGGCCGCTTCGATTGGAAGGGGTGTGGGGGGGGGGTTCGATTGATGCAATGAACCATTGATGAATTCAATGACTGTGCGATGCCAGTGCTCGACTGCCCTCCCTTTATCATCAAGCCCCGCCCCCCTGCCAATGATGAAGCTGCACCTCTCTATCAAGTGGGTCTGTCCAAACGCGCATGCTCACCAGAATTACTTCTTCCCTGTGCCCTGGCGACCCAGTGGCGACCCAAGCGTCGTCCTTCTTGTTGTGCTTCGCCACCTCCTCAAGCGTCACTCCCGGTGGCCCGGCCGGCGCGGCCGGACCAGCAGCCGGGCGCGACTCGAGCTCCTTGCAGTAAGCCAAGAGCTCGTCTTTTGTCCTGATTCCGAAAGACTGCGGCCAGCCGTCCCGTGCAAAAATGCAACCTCTGCCACAAGACAACACAGGCAACGCTTCGAGGTGATGGAAGGAATTCAGGGAAGGCTCATATCTTCCGGCTTCTTCTCTTTCTTGACTTCTTCCACCGCGCTTGCGATGGCAACCAAATCGATGACCTTCTCCTTGGCCCCCAGTGCCGTACCCACGCTTGCGCCCGCAAGTCGCCCCGTGTAGATGGAGTAGAGCAAGGGCACACCAGAAGCGGACCACGCGTTGGGACAAGGGCAGGCTGTTACTTCGCCTGCAGCAAACAGCCCTTCAATGGGGGCTCCCGTGCCGGTGAGGACCTTGCCCTTGTCCACAGCCAAGCCACCCGCGCAGGTGTAGGTGGCAGGAGTGACAACAGCAGCTAGCACTGGGCCATCGCCGAAAAAGGGGAGCTTGTTGGGTGGCACACGCATGTCGGCAGCCAGCTGCGTCGCGTTGCTGTACTTCTTCATGACATTTCGCGATACATAGAAGTCACAAAGCCACTTCACACTATCAACATCTTTCTCGGAGATCACGATGCGGAAAGGCCCCTTAGTGCGCCCCATGGCATCCGCACGCTTTTGTGCAATCTCCAGCTCGTCGACAAACTGCGCGCCATCGACACTGATGAGCTTGCCGCCAGCGCCGACAAGGGCATCAGAGAGCACGATCTTGAACTTGTCGTTCTCCATGCCAGGAATCACAGCGGCAGTGGGGTAGACTGACACCATGTTCATGTTCTTCACTGCTGCCTTCACTTCAGTAGCCATGCTCAGTCCATCCCCATTGGTGCGCTCGTCACTGGTGGTGGGAAGCTGCATGAGTTGGGGCGCATAGCGGGCCAGCAAAGATGCAGGTGAGGTGTCCCCAGCAAAGCCACCGGTTGCCAGCAAGACCACCCCCATCTCTTTCTGTGCGCCGCCAGCTTGGTACTCCACACCTGTCACCTTGGAGCCTTCCACAACTAGCTTGGTGACGGTGGCCGAGGTCACAATCTTCAGCTTGTCCGGCTTGGCCTTGGCGATGGTTTCCAGCTGGTGCATCACGGCATATGTCACCACTGCTCCCGGGAAGTGGTCCCTGGTGCCCAGGGTGCGGGCGATCTTCTTATGACCAGGGGTGAGACGAAGAACCATCCTCACGTGGCCAAAGGCAGGATGAAGCTTTGAACCGGCAAAAAAAAAAGTGTTCCCAAAACGGAACAAACTTTGGCCAAATGAACAACTAAGCATCTCATCCTTGCACCCAGCCAAATTCAGGAGCCAATCCACATCCTTGGCGCCTTTCTCAACCATGTCTTTGGCGATTGGCTCCACAGACACCAAGTCAGCGCCAGTGTCTGCAATGCCCTCTGCCTTCTGCAACTCGCACCCTGGCGCTGCTATGCCTGTGGTGGCCTTGGAGGAGTTGCCTGCGGAGTGGCAGGCCGCTGCCCACAATGCACTCAGAAACACATCTGAGCAGCGCGCAACCCGTTCACGTTTGGTTCTATTGATGTGGACGTATATAGAGGTTTCTGTTCGCCGCACAACAACTACCACAAGACCAGGTAGAATGCCTACCTGTCAAAAATTGTCAATGGGTTTCTTGGGCGCTTCTCGGCTGGGAACATGGCACGGACCACCCCTTCCTCGCAAATGCCTTGTCCTCTCCAAGCCCTTCAAACCACCTCCCGACCCCCCCCTCCCTGCCCCCACCCACAGCTCCAACAGCCGCCTCATACGGCTCGACTGCATGCCCCAGCTCCTGCTCTATGGCTTATGTTCTACGGGCTTCGCGCCTCCCAGGTTTTGGCTCTTCTCCAGGATCACGACGCTGCAGCCACGCTCCAGCAGCTCGCAGGCGGCTGAAAGGCCCGCCAGCCCGCCCCCTACGATCACCACCTTCGTCATGGGACCTACAAGCCAACAGAAAAATCTGCGGGCCAAAAAACTGGGGCAATACCATCATGCATCATGCCAGAGGGAGCACTCAGCAGTGTCCACTTCAAAGTCTTCAAAGCAGGCACTTGCATCAAACGGCACCTCTTGTCCGCTGGAGCCACTGTAAATACGGTGCAAACGATCGGCCAAAGTTGACCTAAAGCCGGTGCGCGGTACGACACACGTGCGAGCCAGGCGATGGCAAATGAACCCCGCACCCGGGGCTGGCGCAGCGAGAGGTTTCAGGGGCAACTCGCGCTGGAAATCGCCCAAAGAGAAACCACCAAATGGGTGTGCCTTCAAGTAGGGGACCCAAAGTGGTTCTTGCCATGCTGGCACCCTTTAAACCAGCTGCTTAAGAGGGTGCCCTCAAAACAAAGACACACCCAAATGTGAAACAGCTATCCGGTCAATACCCTTTGTGCAAGGCCGGAAAGGCAGGCGTCTATTCCTCTAGCTCTTGATGTGTTCCACCACCTCTGGCTTGGCAAAGTACACATACCACGGGACGGAACCGTACATGCCCGCGATGGCCAAGGCTGCCGCCCAACCCATGTAAATCACCATGTTCTGGTGATCCCGAGGGATCTGCATGGCATCCGCTGGCACCAGCTTCTTCCAGCCCAGACACAAGTGCGTCACAAACAGGGCCAAGCAAATGGAGTACACGAGGACCGTGTTCAGATCTTTGAAGAGGGCAACCTCACGGCTGTACAGGTCTCGTGCCTTAACAAGCTCGCCATCGGGGTCCGTGAAGATGTGTCCAGACAGCACACCCTTCACATTCACCAGCATTGGAGGGGCCTTCAGCTCCACATAGTCGTAGTATGGGTAGAAGCGGAAGTCTTGAAGGTGCTTAATTAGAAAAGTCAGGATCACCAGGCCTGACAAGAGCATGTTCCATCGCCCGGTCGCAATGGTATAGCCAATGGTGATGTCGTAAGACCGCTTCAAGGCCTTGCACGGCAATTGCAACTGAGGCAAATGAACTTGCACATGGTTCAAGTAGCTTTGGTACTGCTCGCCAAAGCAGGTGCCGCCTAGCCGCCACTGTCACATGCAGCAGCAACGCCAAAGCCAGGTATTCCTGCCCAAACTCAGGTTTCATGCTGGCATTTGGCGATTGGACTGCAAAGTGCAAAGAATCCACGGTCAACGCTATTGGTCCAGCGACCACAACAGCAATAACCTTGCTCAGTCGCCTCCGCTTTTGGCAGGACATTTACTTCAGACAGAAAGTCCCGGGTCCTCCACAACAGAGAAAGGGAAATCCTTGATGTAGCCAAAGGCCCCAGTCCAGTGGATGCGGTCAAAGAGGTAACCCTCACCTCGACTTCCAAGCCAAAATCATTCAGTTCTGCCTGTGAATGCTGGGTTTTAACTTTGGAGAATAATTAAGGGGCGTAAGGGTGCGCCCGCAGCAGCACCCGAGACAACTTCTGACCAGCTCCCCGTCCACTTCCTAGATCCGTGTTTCATGGCAGAGCAGGAAAGCCGAGCCCCGCGCCGTTCAGCTCCGCAGGGCCCCCCAACATGTCCACAAAGTTCCCCAAGGCATGGACGATGGTGAAGGTAATGAGGAAAACTGCGGAGCGCATGGTGCCGTTCCGGTTGTTGTCCAAGCTGAACTTCAGGTTCCCCGTGAAGAAGACCTTAGGTTTTGCAGTGGCTAAGCTGCAAACACGCAAAGGAAACGGCAGCTGCGTGCCATGTCCTGTGAACACTTTCAAACAACAGCTCTTGCTTGATACCACAAAAACGAGAAAAGCCTGCCCAAACCGTTGTGCGTGGCCGGCTAACGAGAAAGAATAGCGCTGCCACTGTCTCAACCGTGCCAACTGCAAACCGAGCATCGGTGCGCATCACCATGAGCATGACATTTTTCAGCAAGAACCAAACGGCGCCGATGAAGCCTGATGAAAGCAAGTGCTGCTTGTGGTTGTCCGTGTGCGGGGTGCGCACAAGCTGCCGGGCAGCGGATGCTCAACAGGCAAAGAACAACAGCATGCCCAGCCTGGCACGCCACCATCTCCATCTGGTGGCGGTGGTGAATCATCGACAGCTGGGCAGAGACAGGCGGCTGAGAACCCTTGCATCAGGTATCCATACACATCCGGACGATCAACGGGTTAAGGTCAATAGTCCCATGTTCATCCGAGCTTTTCTCATCTCCTGGCAGTGCTCGTCATTATCCTTTTGCTCCGCTTTACCCCCTTTTATTCTCGCTCACTCCCTTCCTTCCCATTCTCTTCAAATATGGCATTGTCAAAACCTTGGTAGGTAATCAACGGATTGAAGGCGCCCCGTAACCACTCACTCCAATTACACCTCGTGTTTTTACCCGACACTCGACCAAGGGTGGCCTGCAGCGGGCGCGGCCGCAGCCACAGCTCCCGAGACTTTGCCCATTTTCTTCAAGTGCTGCATGTTCTTCCTTGGCGCAGTTAGTTCAATCGGCTCGCACCCAAATGGATGTGCCTAAAATGGGGGCCGGATTCGTTTCCGGGTAAGCTACAACACAACCCCTCAGGCACCCTCAAAGAAACTGAAACGTCAGATTGCGGCTTCCTAGACCTCTCTCTTTCCGCAAGACTTGATGCACCGTGATGCACCCTTGACAAATCAATGGAAAGGTTGGGGCAACAGGAATATGCTTCAAGACACATTCATAAACCCCCAGTTCATCAATTGCGCGGTCTCCATTTTCCACTGGTTGTGACCTTTCACTGTCCTTGATTGCACCTCCGTGATAATCACCATTCAGAATCATCGCCTTATCCCACCTTATCCAAGGTGTCCTTTATTGCACCATTTTGAGCTGGGTTTCTCAACCGTTCCGGGCTTGTGGATCATGACCCACTCTTCAGTTGCATCCTTGCCCAAGTATGCCATGATTGCCTGCTCGCCTTAGCTTCAAGCACGTCAGAAAATGAGCAGGCACGTAAGGCACGTATTGACGAAGCAAACTATTTTGCAAAGTGGCCGCCAGGGTGGATTGAGATCCACTTGGTCACGTCAAGAGCCTTCAGCCAATTTCTCTGCTTAACCAGAGAGCCAACGACATGCATCCGAATCCTTAAGTACCTTCAAGAAGCACCTTGCAGTCTTTAGACGTTTGAAGGTGCACCCTGCTCGCCTCTCCGTGGAGGATGATCCAGGCATCCGTCTTGGTGTTGTGCTTTGCCACCTGCGCACTGGCAGGGAGAAACCCATCCGCCCGCCCCGCCCCGCCTAACCTTTATCTTGCCCAAACCCATACTCCGAATCCAGCCCCACACGTCCGAGTTCACGCAAGGGCTTTTGATTTTGCCCAGGCACTCCCCCTGTTGAATCGTTTGTGCTCTTTTCTGGCAGCAGAGTCCCCCCTCGGCCCCACCTCGTCTGGGGACATCCCGTCGCTCACAGGCGCCGCGGCTGCTCCTCCCGCCGGGGCACCGCCCGCGCCGATCTTGCCCATCATCTTCAGGTGCTGCGCATTTTTCTCCACGGTACCTGCGATGTGTTTTGCATGGCCGCAGACCAGTAGTACAGCATGCGTAAGCTGACGTGACCTGAGAATAACAGGCAGTGATAAATCGCCCTGAATTGATCTTTCTAGCACCACCTCATGCCCCATGTACCATGTAAATATAATATATATATATATATACATATATATATATGCAAATACTATATATATATATATGTGTGTGTGTGTGTGTGTGTCTGCGTGTGTGTCTGTGTGTCAACATGTTCTGTGGTAATAACTGTGCGGGCATCCGCACGGCATTCGAGTCAGGCCTGGCTTGTGGATCATGTTCCACTCCTCCGTGGCATCCTTGCCCAAGTACGCCATGATCGCTTGCTCTCCACCAGGGTGAATCGTGATCCATTTCGTCACATCAATCGCCTCGCCGTTCACCACCTCAGAACACAGCAAGTTAAGCCTCTCGTCTTCAAGCATCGGCCTTCATATTCCAAGCACTCCAAAGCCAAATGCGGCTTCCAAAGGGGGGGCCGCTTCGATTGGAAGGGGTGTGGGGGGGGGGGGGGGTTCGATTGATGCAATGAACCATTGATGAATTCAATGACTGTGCGATGCCAGTGCTCGACTGCCCTCCCTTCATCATCAAGCCCCGCCCCCCTGCCAATGATGAAGCTGCACCTCTCGATCAAGTGGGTCTGTCCAAAAGCGCATGCTCACCAGAATTACTCCTTCCCTGTGCCCTGGCGACCCAGTGGCGACCCAAGCGTCGTCCTTCTTGTTGTGCTTCGCCACCTCCTCAAGCGTCACTCCCGGTGGCCCGGCCGGCGCGGCCGGACCAGCAGCCGGGCGCGACTCGAGCTCCTTGCAGTAAGCCAAGAGCTCGTCTTTTGTCCTGATTCCGAAAGACTGCGGCCAGCCGTCCCGTGCAAAAATGCAACCTCTGCCACAAGACAACACAGGCAACGCTTCGAGGTGATGGAAGGAATTCAGGGAAGGCTCATGTCTTCCGGCTTCTTCTCTTTCTTGACTTCTTCCACCGCGCTTGCGATGGCAACCAAATCGATGACCTTCTCCTTGGCCCCCAGTGCCGTACCCACGCTGGCACCCGCAAGTCGCCCCGTGTAGATGGAGTAGAGCAAGGGCACGCCAGAAGCAGACCACGCGTTGGGACAAGGGCAGGCTGTTACTTCGCCTGCAGCAAACAGCCCTTCAATGGGGGCTCCCGTGCCGGTCAGGACCTTGCCCTTGTCCACAGCCAAGCCACCCGCGCAGGTGTAGGTGGCAGGGGTGACGACAGCAACTAGCACAGGTCCAGAGCCCAAAGGTGGCAACTTGTTGGGCTGAACGCGCATTTCAGCAGCCAGCTGCGTCGCGTTGCTGTACTTCTTCATGACATTTCGCGATACGTAGAAGTCACAAAGCCACTTCACACTATCAACCTCCTTCTCGGAGATCACGATGCGGAAAGGCCCCTTAGTGCGCCCCATGGCATCCGCACGCTTTTGTGCAGTCTCCAGCTCGCCGACAAACTGCACGCCCTCGGCGTTGATGAGCTTGCCGCCAGCGCCGACAAGGGCATCAGAGAGCACGATCTTGAACTTGTCGTTCTCCATGCCAGGAATCACAGCGGCAGTAGGGTAGACTGACACCATGTTCATGTTCTTCACCGCTGCCTTCACTTCAGTAGCCATGCTCAATCCATCCCCATTCGTGCGCTCGTCACTTGTGGTGGGAAACTGCATGAGTTGGGGTGCATAGCGGGCCAGCAAAGATGCAGGTGAGGTGTCCCCGGCAAAGCCACCGGTTGCCAGCAAGACCACCCCCATCTCTTTCTGTGCGCCGCCAGCTTGGTACTCCACACCTGTCACCTTGGAGCCTTCCACAACCAGCTTGGTGACGGTGGCCGAGGTCACAATCTTCAGCTTGTCCGGCTTGGCCTTGGCGATGGTATCCAGCTGGTGCATCACGGCATATGTCACCACTGCTCCAGGGAAGTGGTCCCTGGTGCCCAGCGTGCGGGGAGTCTTCTGATGGCCCGGGGTCAGGCGCAGTACCATCTCATCTTTGCACCCGGCCAAGTTTAGGAGCCAATCCACATCCTGCGAACAGGGTTGCTTTACGCAATGGGTGATAAATTGCTTGCGCAAACAGCTGTGTGGCTGCTTAAGCCAGTGAGGTTCCTGCTGAACATGTGGTCCCGCTATGTCCCGCTCGCGTCGAATTGCTTTGCTGTGACGGCATGCGAGTTTTTGTCCGAAGAACCGTCCGCGTGGACCATACGGCCAGCGTGCCAACTTGCAGGGGAACATCCCACGGAGGGAGGGAGGGAGGGAGGGAGGGAGGGAGGGAGGAGGGAGGGAGGGAGGGAGGGAGGGAGGGAGGGAGGGAGGGAGGAGGGAGGGAGGGAGGGAGGAGGGAGGAGGGAGGGAGGGAGGGAGGGAGGGAGGGAGGGAGGGAGGGAGGGAGGGAGGGAGCATGCAAAGCTAGCACACATACAGTAAGGGTGCAAAAGTGCGTGCAAATGTATCTTGCTCATAGGTATCTAGCCATATGCATCCTGCTCATGATCTTTTCCTGTTTCTCGAGGCTTCCTTTGTGAAGGACCCTTCGCATTGCTTGGAATGCTTGCAGAAAACTAGGATGAGAGCTTTTGATCCTTGATCTCCAGGTCTGAAAGGTTTCCTCATACTAAACTGGCAGGATCTGCAAGGCGCCATGCTTCCGCCACCCGGAGCAGGCACATCCGGCCTGGGAGCCCTTCTCGAGCATCTCCTGAGCACGAAGCGCGTCTTGAGCATCCAACTTGCCTTTCCCCCCAAACTTTCCCATCCAATCGTACGCGCGTCCAACGAGCGTCCAACGAGCATCCAACGAGTGACGATCCCCCCCGTCCTTGGCGCTGGGCTCCGCAGAAAACAAGTCGACGCCGGCATCCGTGATGCCCGAGGCCTTCTGCAACTCGCAGCCGGGGGCTGCAATGCCCGTGGTGGCCTTGGAGGAGTTGCCTGCGCTTCGCCCGCGTCGGCGGGTCTCCAACACCAACCCCGAACTGGGGCGGTCCCTCCAAAGGAACCTCAAAACGGTCTCCAAATGCAATTCTCAAGAAGGATAGCCTCCAAAAACAATTCAGCTGCATGGAAGGATGTCTTCGCAATCATCGGCCAATCACTGTGATTGGTTTTGTTTGGGGGGTTTTCAAAAAGAACCTGCTTTTGCGCGGACATCTGCTTTGCCAGCCCTGACAAGCCCCCATGGAAACATCCGAGCGAGGATGCTTGTTTGCTTCTCAACGAACATGCACATGGGATGCATGAGCCCGTCGTCTTGCCTGGCCAGTTCTCTCAAACAAGCTGGTCTGCCTCACCCGCTCAAGGGTGCTTCCCCGCCTCCCAGGTTTTGACTCTTCTCCAAGATGACGATCTTGCACCCGCGCTCCAGCAGCTCGCAGGCGGCAGAGAGGCCCGCCAGGCCGCCCCCTACAATCACCACCTTCGTCATGGAACCTTCGAAGCGCTTCGAAGCGTGCTCCTTGAGACTGCGGCGAGGGCATGCAGGTTCTTTCAGGCGGCAGGGACGCTATGGTCAAATGATATGTCCGCCAACAAGTAGCAACCATCTGGGTTGCCCGCCCAAAACGCTCATGTTGCATGCGCTCACTTTGTCTCTGTTCCCTGTGCAAACGATGCCTCCACAAAGAGGCTACGGCAATCTTGGTGATCGACGCTCTTAGTGCCTTGGCTGCCCCCTGAAGGTTTCTCACACCCTGCTTTGCACCTAGCATGACTGCTGCCTGCATATGGACGAGGGGGGCCAGGAGCCTTGCAAATAATAATGGGCAGCTAAAACAGCGTGTATTGTACCGCCATTGGTGAACCGGGAGCAACAAGTCGTAGCAAATGTTAGCCACTCTTCGGCTCCAAAAGCGACTACCTGCGGCTCGGAGCAAAACCCTCACTTGAGGCTGCCATTTGTCACAGGCGAGTAGTTGTTCGTGAGTGGCTTAATCCGCTGACTGTTAGGCTTTAACGTGTTCCACCACCTCTGGCTTGGCAAAGTACACATACCACGGGACGGAGCCGTACATGCCCGCGATGGCCAAGGCTGCCGCCCAACCCATGTAAATCACCATGTTCTGGTGATCCCGAGGGATCTGCATGGCATCCGCTGGCACCAGCTTCTTCCAGCCCAGACACAAGTGCGTCACAAACAGGGCCAAGCAAATGGAGTACACGAGGACCGTGTTCAGATCTTTGAAGAGGGCAACTTCACGGCTGTACAGGTCTCGTGCCTTGACAAGCTCGCCATCGGGGTCCGTGAAGATGTGTCCAGACAGCACACCCTTCACATTCACGAGCATTGGAGGAGCCTTCAGCTCCACATAGTCGTAGTATGGGTAGAAGCGGAAGTCTTGAAGGTGCTTGATTAGAAAAGTCAGGATCACCAGGCCTGACAAGAGCATGTTCCATCGCCCGGTCGCAATGGTATAGCCAATGGTGATGTCGTAAGACCGCTTCAAGGCCTTGCATGGCAATTGCAACTGAGGCAAATGCACTTGCTCATGGTTCAAGTGCTTTGGAACTGCTCGCCAAAGCAAGTGCCGCCTAGCCGCCACTGTCACGTGCAGCAGCAATGCCAAAGCCAGGTATTCCTGCCCAAACTCAGGTTTCATGCTGGCATTTGGCGATTGAACCTCCAAGAATCGACTGCCAGTGCTGTTGCAGGTCGCTGGTCCAGCAGAGTCTTAGACCAACAACTGCTATAACCTTGCTCATTCGCACCTCACGACCGCCTCCGCTTTTTCCAGGATGTTTACCTCAAACAGAATGTCTCGGGTCCTCCACAACAGAGAAAGGGAAATCCTTGATGTAGCCGAAGGCCCCAGTCCAGTGGATGCGGTCAAAGAGGTAGCCCTCACCTCGAATTCCAAACTTTAGAGAATTTAGGGGCGTAAGGGTGCGCCCACAGCAGCACCCGAGACAACTCGTGACCAGCTCGCCGTCCACTTCCTAGATCCGTATGTCATGGCAGAGCAGGAAAGCCGAGCCCCGCGCCGTTCAGCTCCGCAGGGCCCCCCAACATGTCCACAAAGTTCCCCAAGGCATGGACGATGGTGAAGGTAATGAGGAAAACTGCGGAGCGCATGGTGCCGTTTCTGTTGTTGTCCAAGCTGAACTTCAGGTTCCCCGTGAAGAAGACCTTGGGTTTTGCAGTGTCTAAGCTGCAAACGCGCAAAGGAAAGCCAAAACATTTGTGCGTGGCCGGCTATCGCGAAAGGATAGCGCTGCCACTGTCTCAACCGTGCCAACTGCAAACCGAGCATCGGTGCGCATCACCATGAGCATGACATTTTTCAGCAAGAACCAAACGGCGCCGATGAAGCCTGATGACAGCAAGTATTGTGCGGGGTGCTTTCTACATGTAGCTTTGCACAAACTGCGAACAACAGCATGCCCAGCCTGGCACGCCACCATCTCCATCTGGTGGCGGTGGTGAATCATCGGCAGCTGGGCAGAGACAGGCAGCTGAGAACCCTTGTATCATGCATCCATGTTCATTCATCCGAGCTTTTCTCATCTCCTGGCAGTGCTCTTCATTATCCTTTTGCTCCGCTTTACCCCCTTTTATTCTCGCTCACTCCCTTCCTTCCCATTCTCTTCAAATATGGCATTGTCAAAACCTTGGTAGGTAATCAACGGATTGAAGGCGCCCCGTAACCACTCACTCCAATTACACCTCGTGTTTTTACCCGACACTCGACCAAGGGTGGCCTGCAGCGGGCGCGGCCGCAGCCACAGCTCCCGAGACTTTGCCCATTTTCTTCAAGTGCTGCATGTTCTTCCTTGGCGCAGTTAGTTCAATCGGCTCGCACCCAAATGGATGTGCCTAAAATGG